GAGGGCGCCCTCCAGTTTTACTTTGAGTTGTGCAGTAAAAGTTCACCAGACAAAATAAAAATGCTTCAGAATATCAGATTCTGTTAGACATATTATTTACAAAAGTCAACAGGCCTCTTCCTAAAACTATGGCTTTTTAATAATGACTTAGTTCTAACAAACACCTTTTAATTCAAGACTCAAAATGTTTACTAGAAAGTATTTTGTTTTTTGTTTTTTTAAGTTAAAATAATCCTGCATTGATAGTCACACCTTTTACAGTTTCTATTGAATTATAGAGCTATTGAAAATGAATTACTTTTCATTTTCCTTTTTCTATGCAGCGAAACAAAGTGTGAAATAAAGGAACAGCTTCAAATTCTCTCCAGAAAGGTTTGAGTTGGCGACGCAGGGGAGCCGCCATGTTGGATTTTGATGTTGGCTAGTTAAAAACCTGTTTTTCAAAGTAAGAGCCATTTGATTTCTGAGATGTTTGTAATCAATATAAAGTATAGAGCATATAAAGCACCATTTTATCACAGTCTTTAACTTTGCAGCAGCCATTTATTCCTACATTAAACAGCCATATTAAGCCAGACTCAGTTCAAGCTGATGAATCTAAAAAAGGCTCTTAGGTTTGAAAGTATAAATATTAGTGCAAATGGACTCATCTCAATGTGAACAGAACTCTGGACCAAAGTTAGATAAAGTGGTTCTGTCAGTTTGATTTACTTCACATAAATCATCGTTTCTCAGCCTTGGACTTTAAGATCCAATGCTTTACATGTTTTCCCTGCTTCCACAGACCTGACTAAAATAAACAGGTGATTCATTTACCTGGTTTAAGAAGCTCTAAGCCTCCACTGAGTGTTAATGTAGGAGACATTTATTTATGCTCTGATCTTATAGTTTGTATTTGTATGGTTTATATTTCTCCCTCTGTGGCTCATCATTGATGTGACAAAGATAATTATGAACACAGTTTTTATGATTGCCAGACCATAATACATGTTCATCTACTAAACTTCTCTACCTTCCCTCAGGTAAGAACCTGTAAGAAAAAAGTCACTACAGCTGAGTTATAAGATAAAGTTACTATCCTATATGTTGTGTCTATGGCCCTATTGTCAATAGTAATTGATACATTTCTAATTTTCTCTACTTTTTTATGTTAATAACTCCTGAGAACATATTTTAATAACAATCTTACATAATGCAACTACAAGGGTGCTTTTTAAAAACATTGTATCAAAATGGTGTGATGATGTACATAAAAATATTCAGGTCATTTGTTCCTATGTGAATGTGGGAGTTTTAATGAGTAAATATTCATCACTACTGAGGTCTGGACATGGAAGCAAAGGTGAACTAGTGAATTCATTGCTGATTCATAAATTGAAGAACTAGGCAACACGTGTGCAAAATCATAATAAAATACAAAAACATCTGGTTATTCCTGTAAGAAGAGTGTGAGCGTTAAAATAAGTTTCACTGACACAAATTAAATTAAAAAACTTTGGTTGGCACAAACTTTTGCATGAATTAAAAAATACTTTTCAAGACAAATCAGATATCAAACCTGAGTGAGAGACACTAAACTACAGCACCAGCTGTGTTCATAGGATGTTCTTTTTTAACTTACATCATCAGTTCATCCTTATTATTAAATCTTTTTGGGGTTTAAGGCATACAGTTGTTTTTGTTATTTTTATCATGGTCCATAGTTCTCTACATGTACTAGTTTTCATACCAACACATGCAAGTGGTTGAAAAGACTTCAGCTGAGGGGGGAGGATTCATCCACCCTTTGGTTTGGTTGTTACACGTCCTGTAAAGGCATTTCTTCAGGTTCAACTCCAGGGTCGCCATTTCCATTTTGTTCTATGAAACACAAAACAGAATTTTTTCCTCTGATTGTTTGATATCCTAAAGTTACATTATTATTAAGATGACTTGAATAAAAACAGAATTTCTTCTTTCTCTAAATGTCATTTTTAGTTTTTCAGAATATCATCAATCAGCAAAAAATAAATCAAAATAAAGCAGAAAAGTTTTGACTTTTTCTGAAATGATTTGTCTTTCATTTGTTTCCAGATGCTTGTTAAAAAAATAAGAATCCAGAAAGCAAAGCATATTAAAATAAAGATGGAAACATCAACATATTAAATTGAATATGTAATGTATATTCACATGAGGCTGATTAAATTTTCTTTTTGAATATAACTTCTAGGAAGGTGTAAGACATGTCTGACATTAAGCCCTGATTTCTTTTTTTAATTGGTCTGATGTAATTATAATCTCAAACATGTTTTCATTAGCTATAAGCTTCTCTGTTGAAGAAAACACAACAAAGACATATTAGAAGAGAAAATCTGAGTTATGTGTTTGCAATTTTTAATAGTTTTATTCATAGTAATTTAAAAATTAATGTTGTTGGTTTTGTTTTCTTGATTCTTGGCTGTTTTTCTTTAGTGTTGTCTAAATCCGGGGCCACAGGTTGAAACCTCTGGTCTAAACCTTCACATCACTGAAAGCTGGTGAGCCTCGATTAACCCAGTCAGTCACCAGTTCATTTCTGCTTCATCACATTATATAACATCTGTCAGTCAGATTCAGTCACCAACAAGGAGGTTCAGTTTCCTGGTTTGATGCTCAGCTGTGATGTTCAGTGATTACAGACCTGATTAGTTTTTCAATCAGCTGTTAGATAAAAAAAAAGAAAAGAATTAAGACAAATTATCTGGAGTTGTTCTGTTTCCATACCTCGATCATTTCTCCCTTGTTCATGTCGAGAGTTGTTGTTGCTCCGGCATGGAAAACCTGAACACCCTAGAAAATAGACATCAGTGAATATTTAGCTTAACACACAATAAATGAGGTGACAATATTTAATTGGTTTTTGACTGGTAAAAAAATGTTTCATCAACCAGAGGAGCCAGAAAAGCTACAATAACAACAAAGACCTGAAATAGAAAAAAGGAAACTCATGGGTTGGTGTTTTTTTTTCTTTCCAGGCAAACACCAATAGATATTGATAAATATACAAAAGCTGCATAACTTTTCTTACACATGTTTATAAACATGTTTTACTTCTCTTCAGTTTCAGGTCAGTTTTTGCAAACTATTAAAAACTATATTTTCTAAAAAATTGGAATTAAGCATGTATGGAGATAGTCATTAATTCACCAAATACCTGAATGACTAAAAGACAATGACTGACTTACTTTGTTCGCCTCTCTTGCAACGTTCAACACGGTATATGATGAAGCCGAGAAGAAGAGCAACAACACCACCAATAACACCACCAGCAATAACTCCAGCATCAGGTCCTGTGACAAAAAGAGAAAACAAGTTTTTTTTTAACATTCCGGTTTTTAATGTTTTGAATTCTATTTTGCATATTTTTGTATTATTAATGAGATCAAAGTTGTGGACCAACAGTCATCTCGTCATTCAGGTGTCACTATTTACTGTACCACACACACACACACACACACACACACACACACACACAGATGAACCCAGAACCTTTTTATTTTTACTGTCTGACACTAAGTTGCACCAAACGTAGATTTTTTAGGTTAGTTAGGAGGAACAAAAGCTAAACTTTTTGTTTGTTAAATGCCAGTTTATTACTTTTCTTAAATTTAGAAGCTTACATATCAATGTGCCTAGATGATGTCATAGCTGTGTATAATCTTAAAGACTAATTCACATCCTCTTATTTCGAAGTAGGTACAGTTGCAGATGTATATTAAGACAAAAGTCAAAGAAACAACTTCCTCAAAGCAGGAAGATTAGATAAGGAATGAGAAAAAACTGGATTTTCACTAGTTTCTAGTTTGGTTCTTTCTTTGGTTCCTTTGTTCCAGATTTC